ATGGATTTGGAGCACTAAAAGAATAAGTAACTGGTCGGGTTAGTAGAAAAAAAAAAACAAAAAAAAAGTGTATATTTAGCTTGCAAAAAGAATGCGAAATGTTCGATTAGTGTCGTGCTTACGTGACCACGTGATGATCGGTTATGATTAGATCAGGTAACATATGTACCAGGGAAAAATTGATAATTAGGTATTTAAAAGTCAAAATGGCGTGATCAAATAATTGAAAAGTTAAAACAATGTGATCAAATAATGATGTAATGAAGTGTAGTTAAAATTTGTATTGATAAGCAAAGCGAAAATAAATAATTAATTAGTGCTTTTACTTGTAAAATAAATCGTCGACTCTAAAATAAATAATACTCTTACCCCATTGAATTGTTCTTGGTATCCCGGTAGTCGTCACTATGATAGGTGCTTGCCTCTAGGGCTAGGTTGTTAGTGACGAAAGTCACTTATTAACTTACGACAATACTATTTTATTTACACAAATTGGCTTTACAATTACGATACTAATTTGGATATTGATGAATAAAATTTTTAACGTTAACTTTATAATTAAATGCAAACCTTTAATATTTTTAAAAATCATATTTTACTTATAAACCAGTAATATTTACACTTCTTGTTAGCATCCAGTTACCTACATCCTGGCAGATTGATATAAACGATTAAGCTATTAGCTATACAATTTCATTCGTATAACAGGATTATTACAAGAACTTGTTATTAGCTTACCAAATTAGTTTAATGCTTAGCGATAATAAAATATAAAAGAATTAAAGTTTGTAAATAATATAGTAACTATTGCTATTATCAAATTATATTCAATATGTCAAATCATAAAACCAAACCTCTTGATTTAAGCATTAACCCATTTTCTATTGCCGCTCAATTAAAAACCTCAGCTAATAATGGTGATGATGAGGTCTCTACAACTTCAGAAGAAGAGAATAATTTTCGTCAACTTAAAGTACCACGATTAGCCAAGAAATCATTAAACTAAAATCCGAATTGGCCTAAAATGTATCCCTGGGTTCATCGTGGAGAAGGACCATTAAATAAATATATGTTTTGTCTTTGGTGTAAGGAAGCTGGTAAAAATAATAATTTTACTAAAGGTTGTGAGTTTTTAAAAAAGCAAAGCCTGGACCGTCATATTATTACTAGTGATCACCAGATAGTTTGTGCTGCCCGAATACAATCCCAAGTTACTTTATATTCTAGTTTTGCTGTTCAAGCTGGAACTGATCAAATTAAAATTATGAGAAATATGCGTAATATATACTTTTTAATTCAGCATAATTTGTCTACTAATATATTTGAGGATTTATGTAAGTTATCTGAAATTCAACGTGCTGAAAATCAAAACCAATTTGAGTGTGGCACTGAAATTTTAAATATTTTCAATAATGATTTTTCTGCTAATGATGAACGAGCACCATATGGTAGTTATCAAAATAATGTTTCAGCTCATGAATTTATTAAATTAATTGGCCATGTTATAGAACAAGTGATTTTTCAGGAATTGCGTAATTCAGATAGGTAGAGCATAATGATTGATGAAAGCAACACTATTTCAACTGAAAAGGTTTTAGCAATTGTTTCCAAACACTCAATTGCACCAGCAAAACCACTTTACCGATTTCTTGGATTAATTTCCTTAACAAATAGTACCGCAAATACAATTATAGCTAAAATTAATCGATTTGTTCTAGCAAAAAATATATCATATGATAAGTTAATGCATATTTGCACTGATGGTGCTAGTACAATGATAGGTAATATATTAAATTTTACTTATTATTATATAGTTTATATAAAATTTTATAATTAATTATATATTATAATTATTATAGGTATTCATAGTGGAGTAGCGACTCAACTTAAAAATAAGAACCCCTTTATTTTAGAACATCACTGTATTTCTCATAAATTAGCATTAGCTGCAAAGGATGCTGCAAAGCAAGTTGAAGAGTTTAAATTATATGAGAAAATTGTGCATAGTATTTATAGCTATTTTTCATGAAGTGTAGAGCGTATAATGCACCTTAAAATGATAGAAGAAAATATTGGTGATCCTCAACTTACAGTTTTGAATATTATTGAAACTCGTTGGTTATCGTTATCTAATATTATTCAAAATTTGCATCAAATTTTAAACTCTATAAGTGATGCATTGCTTGAAGATTTGAATGAAAATATGATCGCTCAAGCCTTGTATAACAGCATTGATAAAAATTTTATTATAACAACAAAATTTTTTGCTGATATACTTGGAATATTAAAGCGAATGAATCTTCTTTTTCAAAAAAATAATATTACAATTCATGAAGTAAAGACTCAGCTTGATATTACCATTCATACTATTCAAGTACAGTTCCTTGGAGTTGAACCAACTTGGGGAATTCATTTACGCAAATATATAATCGATAATGAAATTAGTCCAACAGAATTACCTATTATTATTACAAAATTTGCATGTGCTATAGTCGAATCATTAGAAAAAAGGTTTCCAAACCGAATTCAAATTGATGCATTTCATATTTTTGATCTGATGGCTTTACCAGTTAATAATTCAGATTTTCAAAAATATGGTGAAGATGAAATCAAAATTTTGGGTAACTTTTATGGTCAAGATAAATTCGTATCAGGAAATTTATTTTCTGCAAGATTGAATTCTGAAAATTTAAAGCATGAATAGTTATCAGTTAGATATCTTTTAACTAATTACAAAAACCTAAATTTTTTAGAAGCTTGGAAACGTATATTTCTTGATCTTCCTACTTTTAATGAAATTTATCCAGAAACTGCAAAGTTAATTTCTATCTTAATTAATCTTCCTTTAACCAATGCAGTTGTTGAGCGAATTTTTTCTAGACAAAATTTAATCAAAACAAAACTTCAAAATCGTATGAGCATTTTTACACTTAATTATCTTCTTCTTGTTTCTTTTAATGGACCTAAATTAGAGAATTTTGATTTTCAATTAGTATATCAAGAATGGTGCAAACTTGATCGTTGAGTTAGACAATTATAGTTATTTTAGTAAATAAAATAGTACTTATATTATATCATTATCAATTCAAAATTAATATGATATTTTTAAAAAATAAAGTATTCTATTTGTTTTTAGGTTTATTCTATTGTAATAAAATGAATATTTATTATTATCATAATAACGAACATACATAATGATTATATTCTATTTGTAATATTTTCTTGTAATTACTAGATAGATATTTTGCCAAATAATTGTTTGATATCTAAAAAAAAATAAAGAATTAGATGAAAAAAATAAAACAATACAAAGCAATATAATAATTAATATACGCAGCTCAAATATCCAGTAGTTTTATATTTTATCTATTAAGAAGCCACTCACCTTAAATTCTAATTTAAAAAGAAAACAAATTATATTAATAACACGATAAAAAAACAAAACCTGAACTAAAGTTAGAGAAAAACTTTACTTAGCTTAAATAACTACCGTATAGACGCGTAATAACGCACATGGGGATTATTTCGAAATTTTTACTTTTTTGAAAATCGCATATTTGACTCAAAATAATGCACGCCCCGCATATGTATTAAAGTAAAGCCTTTTAGTAGTTGTAACTTTTTTCTCAAAATTAGTACAAAAATTCGAATTATCACATATAATATTTCGAAATAACGTGCAGGGTCTCGAAATAACGCGCCGATGTATGTTATTATGCATCTATACGGTAGTAGTCTTATATTTATCTATCAAAAAGCGCTTATCTTAAATTCTAATTCAAAAAGAGAAAGAATAATATTAGTAACACGATCAAAAAAACAAGACCTAAACTAAAGTCAAAAAACTCTACTTTAGTGCTCCTAGGTCTGGTTCGGGTTCGGTCCAGTCTGGGTCTGGTCCGGGTTCAAACCAGACTCAAACTCTAAATTTTACCAATTTCAAACTTCAAACCAGACTCAAACTCAGCTATGGTTTGGTCCGAATCCGGTCTGAAGTTTGCAAACTAGTTTGAGTTCGAATATATATATATGTATTTTTTTGTGCTGAACAAGTTTACTTGAAATTAGATTCAATTAGTAAAATATTGAGAATTATAACATTTTTGATAATTTTATTAATAAAATTATCAAAAA